AAAGAAAAAGAAAAACATTGAAAGCCAAGAAAGAAACAAAAATACAAAACTAAGAAAACCCAAAGTATATAGAAGGAAAAACAAAAAATGGAGTATGCCAAAGAAAATGAAAGAAAATTGATGAAGAAATAAAGAAAACAAAAGAAAATGAAATAAACATAAGCAAACAACCATAAGCGAGCTAATGAATGGGCTGGCGCAATAATGTAGCGTGCAAGGAAATCCTTCATGCAAAAGCTCATTGCATCTTGCTATAAGGGAGATATAACTCTGGCGGTTTAAATATTATTTGATGTACCAGATTTCTGCCGAAATCACTAATTGAGGGGTACTCTTTGCAAAGATCACTCCCACCCTTCTTAGGTTATGACAAGTGACGCACTGCATATGCGCCACTTGTCGCAACATGGGAGTTTTTCCCTTTTTTCTGCATCTGTTTATTTAAAATGTTTTATCTCTTGGACCGTGCGTCTAAATCTCGAACCATTTTCACCGTTGGATTCCCCGCATCACGATCTTCAAAACTAGATCTCATGTTGACAAATTTTGACAAACTTTTTTTTCATGAAAAAACCGGTCGAAAAAAATCGGACGAAAAATTGAACAAGGAGCACGGTTTTTTTTCCTTTCGAAAGAGGCACGGCCGTGCCTCTCATGAAATCACAACTGTGCCTCTCACGGAAGGAAAAAATAGAAAACAAAGCACAACCGTGCCTCTCGCGGTAGGAAAACCGTGCCTCTCGCGGAAGGAAAAAGTTTCTGTCTTTTCCTTTTTCGAGAGGCAGGGCCGTGCCTCTTGCGGAAGGAAAAAAAATAGAAAACCGTATTTTTTCCTTTTTCGAGAGGCAAAGCTGTGCCTCTCGTGAAAACACAACCGTGTCTCTTGCGGAAGCAAAACCGTGCTTCTCGCGGAAGGAAAAATATAGAAAACGTGCATTTTTCTTCCGTTTCTGAGAGGCACGGTCGTGCCTCTCGTGAAAGCACACATGTGCCTCTGACGGAAGAAAAACCGCGACTCTCGCAAAAGCAAAAAAAAACATGTTTTTTCACAAAAAAATCAATTTTTTTTGTTCCAAAAGCTAAGGCAAACTGGTGGAAAACCAAAAAGTCAAAAAACCGTTTAAAAAGCCGAGAACACGTGCGGAAAAATTAAAAAAAATCCAAAGAAAGTGTCCAAAGCAAGACACGTAACGGACGGCTGAGAGCGCACCAAATGGCGCTGATCGTTAAGAGGCTCTCGAAGGAGCGCTCATCAACTAGTTGCTCTCGATTTCTGCCAACGCGTTGTGGTCTAATTATTTCCAGCTGGCCCGCTAATTCTGTGTGCCGAAAAGATACCATGCATTCCAAGGGGAGGGGCTTTATCTTGTTGTAGTTAAATTGGCCAGAGGATGTATTTCAACTTTTCAAGGTTTGTATTTTAGAGGTGGGGTGAGCCGTATCTTATTTCTGTGGCCCGAAAAGATACCCGCTAATTCTTATGCCGCTGGTTTGTATTTTAGAGGTGGGGTGGGCCGTATCTTATTTCTGCCTCCAAGTGCACTTTGAGCAACCAGTTGTGCAGACCATTCCGAGTTTCTAAGCAACTGAAGAAAAAATTAACACAAAATTTACGACCATTTGTGGAATGTGCAGTAAACTAAATAATAAACGAACAGGATCATATTAACATCCACATATTTATTAATTTACAAAGCACAAGTTTATGTTTATGTTTCTTTAAAAGCTTCGAGAAACAGTGTTTTTATTGAAAGATGATGATTTTGTTAATGCATCAAGTTGATAAAAATAAATAAATTCATTCTACAGAACACAATAAGAGAACATTGGTGCACACAACTAATACAAATTTGAAATTTTGCATGTCAACATGATACCGATATAGGACTAGTTATGTCTATCTTTTTTTTTCAAAAGCTTCAAGAAAATCATTTTTTTCTTGTGCAAAATGGTAATTTTGTTAATGTATCAAGTTGATAAATAAAAAATCCGTTCCATACAACATGGTGACAAAAGATTGGTGCACGTAACGAATACAAACAGCCAACGCAAAAGCTAAAAGAAAACAAAAACCAAGAAGATCATCAACTCACAACATCCGTTGATAAAAATAAATAAATCCATTCTATACAACACGATGACAAAACATTGGTGTATGCAACGAATACAAACGACCAACGCAAACGCTACAAGAAAACAAAAACCAGAAGAACATCAACTCACAACCACCATCTTTGAAACCAATTGTGCAGACCATTCTGAGTTTCTAAACAACTGAAGAAAAAATTATTAAGGCAAAACATCATAAAAATTAGGACCATTTACAGAATGTACAATAAATTAAACAATAAGTGAACAGTGTCATATTAGAGTCTACATATTTATTAATTTACAAAGTAAATGTTCAGATTTTCGGATGAAAAAAATTCATGTCAACAAGATATAGGAGTAGTTATGTCTATATTTGTTTTCAAAAGCTTGAAGAAAACAGTTTTTTCTGTTGAAAAATGGTGAGTTTATCAATGTATCAAGTTGATAAAAATAAATAAATCCATCATACACAACAGGATGAGAGAACATTGGTCCACGCAAGAAATATAAACGTGAAAATTTGCATCTCAACAGGATATCGGACTAGTTATGCCTCTCTTTTTTTTCTTTCAAAAGCTTTGAGAAAATGGTTTTTCTCTTTTGAAAATGGTAGTTTTGTTAATGTATCAGGTTGATAAAAATAAATAAATAAGTTCTATAGAACATGACGAGATAGCGTTGGTGCACACAACGAATACAAATGACCAACACAAAAGCTAAAAGAAAAATAAAACCAAGAAGAGCATCAACTCACAACCGCCGTCTTTGAAAGAAAGGCACCACCTAGCGCTAGCACCATGGTGATCTATAACATTCCACTAGCAGTGGGAAGGAATGATGGTCGATACATCTGGCGAAGCGAGCC